ATAATAGATCCTGTAAATTTTTTCCAATATGCTCATAAATGGATTTAAATATATTATTATTCAATTAAAACAATTTAATGATTTAATTTTTATATGTTGTTTGTATTTTGATCTTACACAATAATTGATACCAAACTAAAGAACATAAATAAATACACATGTAAGTAAAAATTTAATTGATATATGGACACTTATTGCGGACTCGTAATGTTTAGATGACAGAGTGGAATGAACCATACATTTGGGTCATCAATCTATACATGTATTAGTCTATTATTAACTTTAAAATAAATTAACTTTAAAATTTAATACAAATCATTGTATTAAAATGATTACTAGGAAAAAGAAAATAATAAGAATCAAAACTTTAAAATGTTGATCAAAATGTAAGAATACTTTTTTAAAAGTAACTAAACTTTTATATATTGTCTTTTCTTTATTTTGTTTAATATATTTCATTTAAAAATCAACTGTTAGTTAGAAGATTAATATATTTGTTATATATTTGTTTCAAAAGGTGTTGAACGTTATCATCCTAAATAATTGAAATTGCATAAAAAAAGAAGAAAAGAATGACATGTTGACACATAAAATTCGTTTATATATTATTTAGAATCACCTGCTATTCGTACTGTATCAAACGGATCTTCGATATACTCTGTGATGTATGCTGGATCTGGTAACAAAATAACAATAAAACGGAAAGCAGCTGCTACGGAAGATACAGAAGTAGGACAACAGGATATGGATGGAAATCAACACAGCTCTGTAGGAGGGGTAAAATGTATTCCATCTTCCCACCTTAAATATGGGACCCCTTCTCAGAAAAAATCTTCAAAAGGCAGCAAAGTAATTTCAATAGATATTCGATTAATCTTAACGCCTTACAGGATGTTTACATTGCGCTATAACTTTTATTTAAATACTAAATTATAAGCATCTTTTTTAATGTTACTTGTAAGGTAGAATCATATTTTTATATTTATATAACAATTAACAATCTCTAATAATTCATGTTTAATTAACATTTAACACTGTTCATTACTAACACTAGATCTAAATAAATTTCATATATACATTTTAATAGGTCCCATACTAAGATTAATGCAGATGAGAAATTGTATGCCATTTTCATAACATAATATATAATATATAGTATGTATTTATCAGACATTGTATTTACATCTGTATTAGTCTGCAATTCTCATTTTTATTTCAATATTTTGTAATAATTAACAGTAATAGAACTGGTTTCATTTTGAGCAGTCGTCTGGTTTTAAAAAACCAAGGTCAAGTTCTGCTCGGAGTAAAAGAAAAGGATGTAGATGTGGTAATGCTACAGCAATACCTGGAAAATTAACGTGTTGTGGTCAACGGTGTCCCTGTTATGTTGAAAGTAAACCTTGCGTGGAATGTAGGTGCAGAGGTTGTAGAAATCCTCACACAGCGGATGGATTAAAGGTAAAATTATCTAATATTGAATAGTTAATATGAATTGAATTTAAAACTTTCTTTAAATATTTACCATTTTACATTTCAGATTCGTCCGCATATACCTGAATTACATAATTTACAGTTACAATTATCAGCTCCTTTGGACTGCGATACATTAAATTCAGATCCATTAGGATCAGTACCACAATGCCTTTCAACTTCCCCAACTACAATTCAAGTATTAAATGTTTATTCAACTCCGAGATTAGATATCGATAATGTACCACAAAATCTACCTGCCGCCTTGTTAGTAGGAGAAGATGCTATGATTAGTACTGAAAGTGAAGCTGAAGACAGTGATATACAAATTGATGTGTGACAATTCAAATGACATTGTCAAATGTCATGTTTAACGTAAGGTATGTGATATGAAAGATATTGCTATGATGTTATATAATATAATAAATATATTAAATTCAATTTCTATAGTTTCAGAGTAATCAGTCGACTATTGAAATAAAAAGTTATGGTTTTTAATCTATAATTATATTACGAAATAATAAATATATTTTTATCACTCATAAATTATCTATATTATGCCATTTTAAAAAGTTTAGAGAACTAAGTTTGTGTAAGTATAAATAAATTTATTTCCAGTGTAAAGATAAAATATTTTATTCCATTTTTTATTTGTATCATAATTCGTAATTTTTTACTGTATTTTATATTTAATCAAATTCATCTATATTCCAATCATTACTTTTATTGTTTGTATTCAACTTGTATATACGTCTATTGTACTTCCCTAATTTTTTAACATGTGCATAGATAAGTATGCTTGTAGCATTGCAAAAAAATACCTCTATGTCCATATACATGTTGTGCCATACACTAAATCTGCTTATTATTATGTATTTAAAATATTTAAGGTAAAAGACAAAAAGTTTCAATTGTCTATAAATGGCATTTGATATAAGAAATAGTAAATTGGCAAGAAAAACATAGACAACAGAACATATAGTTTAACTATTTCTCTCTTTGTTCACTGAAAATAGTTATTTTATAGATACATTAATTACATGATGTGAAAAGATCAATGAACATACAAACTTTATAAAAAATATGGATCAAAAACAGATTTTTCCAAAAGAACGTTTATAATTTCAATATCATTATTTAAAATATTGCGATTATATTGCTTACTATAAGCTGTTTTTAAAAAAATAAGCTGTAATAAGAACATTATTTTTAATAGTTCAATCAATAGCTAAATCATTTTAACGAAGTGAATATTCAAAAAGATATATTTGTTTTGTTTGCTTTTGCAAGATTCTTTACTTTCTACATTAAATACATTGTTGCCCCTCCTTTTTTATCATTAAAAGAGATCATTCACTTTTTTTCGATGAAAAAGCTTATTTGTAACGATCAAATATTATATTTTTTATATATTTTTCGTATTAATTAATATGGTTGTTACATGTGAACGTATTACATTTGGTATATTGCTCTTATAAAAAAACTTTATTTGTACATTTGGTTTAAAATATTTTTATAGTATATGAGGTTCTAGAGAAATTAAAATTATTTTATGGAATTGTTGATCACTGATACCTTTAATTCAAAATGTAAGTGTAACTAGATATAGGTACACTTTACCAACATTGTCAACGAATTCAAAATTAATAATAAATTTTTGATTCCATATCAAATTATGGAATACTGTAAATTATTGTGAAATATTATATATACCTATTTAAAATAATTATATAGTTTAAATCTTCAATGATGTGATAAATATTATTAATTTTACTTATAATTGTTTATAATTTTCTGTTACCAATACTTATGTTAGGCAAAACATGAGTATTTATATATTTGTAAAATAGTATATACATATATATATATATATATATTTTGTAGATACGTGGTTTAGTATTTTTCTCAATATTAGCTGTATTTCAAAATACATTATGTGAAACCTCTGGCAAAACTTTATTTACAACACATTTATAAAAAATTAAAAAATTAATTGAACAACAAAATAAGTGTGAAATGTATTATATATACATAATGATGTTTGCATTCAAGTTATGAGCTAAAATTTACTTAAATTAATTGAAACTGGTGGAATGTAATGTTGATGATTGTAAGTTTCATTTTATCCTAAAATATTATTATTTACTCTATGTTTATGTGATTAT